CGGTCCGGCGGCGCGCTGTTCGGCTGGACCGGCGGCGCGCTGTTCGGCCGGAGCGGCGATGCCGTTCCTGGAAGCCGGGCTGAGATGTCCGACCGCTGGCCGCTCGGCCGGCGCCTTGTTTGGAGCAGCAGGGGGCGACCAGCCTGTTGGCCGACACCTGCCTAACAGAGCCGTTCAGAAGATGGCACACGATTCGCTAGCGAGCTGGGAGGGAGCGTTGGCTCTCATTGTAAGGGAGGAGGCTGCGGAAAATAGTATATACGCTAGCTACCTGCCGCTTTGATTGCGGTTGGCAGGGGCTGTATCAAATTAAGATGTCATTATTTTTCTTCGAAAGCGCACAACAGCGACACGATTTACACCACCATCGGTTCTACCTGTTTCTGTCAGAATCGTTTTCGAATAGCACGACGATCTTGGACTACATGCGGGTATTTCTGCTTTTGGCTGACAACGTAAGGCCACTGTGTCATCGACAGTCCCGTATAAGCACAGCAGCCCAAGGCCCATGGGTACTTGAACCCGACACCCGTCCTTTCGGTCTGAAGCCCGCGCGCCGCCGACGTTGGGGAGGGGGGGGGGGGAATGGGCGTGAACCGAAACCTGTCCAAAAGCGGCTGCGAAGGTAAGGAGTGTCCTGGCTTTCGGTTCGTCAGCGGCATATGGGTCTCTGATCTGATATCTTGGGTGCATTACTCGACGGTCATAAATGAGTGTTTTTATCTTCAACCTGGGATCGGGATTATTCAAGCTTAAGCTTTCTGATCTGTGCGGTAAGGCACGTGAAAATCCCAGGTGGTACTTGACTTTCTAAGCGGCTGAACTCGTGCCGCAATTTGTGCCATGTGACATTACAAAGTACCAAGGCCTTTTAACTTGCCGGAATTAACGCCAGATAGTAATTGATAGTTTATAAAATGACATGGCGCAAGGCGTGAATAAAACATGATTGTAAAGTAAGCAGTCACGTACTTATTGTTTGGAAAAGGTGGCTGATGTATACCGACCTACACATTTCATCTGGCGATGGTGGATCACGTTTCATTTTTCGTCTTCTTTCATGACGTCTTTTGTAATAGTTTGTCATTTCATTTATGCTGTTTGTCTGCTGCAGTACCTCCTTACACTAATACGTTGTCATAATAAAAGCACAACCACAGCTTACCCGTCTTTCATATAAGGTGCATCTAAAAGTGTTTAAATAAAACAAATTTCGTTTAGCTCATCTTCTAATGTGCTGCGTTGTGCCATGTTTTGACGTTATGCGGTGTTTGGACTATCCTGCGACAATGTCGCAAGAAAGTCACGTATGATGAAAAAGCCCGCATGCGTACGCTTGGAGATCATGCAACACAATACAACGATTGTCCACAACATTTTTAGGTAATCGGTTTTGGTCCAGAAAAACCTGAAGTGCGATCACTGGCTAAAAGAACGCTGATTTCGCTAGAGCAAAACGCCCGGGATGCGCCGCTCAACCTGGAAATGAAAGGTGGAGATCCATGCCATATTAACATATATTTTCGGTGCCTGTTAGGTGCGTGCGTAACGTGTTAACACATGGTGCGAAGAGGCGACGTTCGAGTTTCAAGGGGGCACAGTTACCATGCGTGCCCCTGCAAAAGGACAGTTGCATCTGGGGTTACCTTAGGGCCTTTTCATGCTACGGACGGCATTCCGCGAATCGCAGCTCGCGTTCGAGCCCGGACAACGCGCCGCACTGCGTACAAACGGACCCAAATGGTCGCAAGTCCGCTGGCGAGCAGCGCGGCTCCGCGGCGGTGTCGAACGCCGCCATGGAAGCTGCGTACGTCGGCGGCTGTCCGGCAGCGTCCAGCAGCTGTCCGGCAGCGGACGCGGCAATGAGCCGGTCTCAGCCGCGGCCCCCGGCGCCGGCGACGGCCCCCGCTGCGGCGGCGCGGCCCGGCGGCGCCGGCCGGGGCTGTCTGCGTGCGTCCGCGCCCGACAGGCCATAAATCGGCGGCCATATCGGCTGAGTGCGGCCCGTCACGCTGGCGCCGGCCGCGCCGCCACAGCGCCGGCGAGTTGCCCTGCACTGGTGACCTGGCCAGCGCGCTGTCGCCAGCCCTGCCCCCGCCGACGGCCGCGGCGCCGCCTCAGCGCATGTTGCGGCCGTGGCTCCGGATAGATGATGCGGCTGCCGAGCTCCTCCAGAGACTGGGCTGGTCACGGGTTTCCGGATGACCCGGCTGTTGTGGCCGACGCCTATTCTCGTGATATCTTGGTGCCGGTTTGATAATCCAGTTCATCCAACAATAACCTGCGGGTGATTTACGGACTCTGTCCCAGCGAGACAGCTGCCCCCTCTCGTGTTCAATGATCTTGCAGAGCCTGGACAACCCTGAAAACACTCCCCTACCTGCTCTCAGTGTGTAAATGGCTGCGGGCCCAGCCCGGGCGGCGGCGCTGAGCCGTTCTCCGTCTCGGTGAGGGCCGAGCCCGAGTTTCCCTCCGAATCTGGCCCCGACAGTGCTGTGCCGGCGCCCTGCCTGTTCCCTCCGAGTCTGGCCCCGACAGTGCCGTGCCGGCCTTTCTACTGCACCGGAGCGCCGTCGCTGGTTCTCTGCGCGGCGCTGGCTGAGGGCGGCCTGCGTGTCCGGGCGCGCCGCGCCGCGCCACGCCGCCAGACAGGGCCGGCGCCACGGAAGTGGAGGCTGTGGCGCTGGCGCCGTCTGGCCGGAAGGTCGCGCACCGCCGCCGCCGCCGCCGCCGCTGCCGCCGCCAGGTCGGCCGGCGCCGGTGTGGGCAGGTGCGCCGCCAGGCGGCCTGGTCCGGCCGCTGGAGCTCGCGCGGCCACCGACGGGTCTGCGGGCCGCCAGGTCAGCGGCGGCCCGAGATGGGTCTGCGCTCGGATCTCGGTCATCGGATCTCACTCCGGCCGCGGCCATTGTGTGCTTTGGATTGTTATCTCGGTTGTCGGTCGTTACTGTTTTGTACAGCCTTGCTGGAAAGCGTGTCTTCGTCGTTTGGAATTCCGCTTTTCGACGAAAAGCGCCGACAGTCGGAATCAGCATCAAGATTTCGATTATATGTTTGGGGAATCTTGCTATTTGGAAACAGGTTACAAACATGCCACTTTATTGAAACATTCAGTCCCGAACTGTCGGTATTGAACTTGTACTGTTGAAAGAAATTGTAATGTTGAAAGAAATTGTAATGTTGAGAGGGATGGATGGTAGTGTACCGTAAGTGCAAACGTATTAATAGGATAGACAACAGCTATGACGTTAACTGCTCATAATTTGTGTGCATCTCACGAAAACATATGCTTTGGAGATCACTGACTAACGCAGATACCCAGTAGACGCATCCTTTGTGGATACAACGATGTACTCTGCAGCTGAGGAATTTGTGTTTTATTAGCGTTTTTCTTTTTCAAATGGAGAACATGACAAAAGAGTATGTTGATCAAATATTTGGCGGATTTTACGTACCTTGTAAACCACCCCAAGCATCTGCACGCTGAGCAAATGCTGAGCAAACGCTGAGCAGCGTTAACGCAGTCCGTGCTGGGACGCCTCGTCGAGGCTTCTGGTCCGATGGTGATGACGATGCGTCCCCACCCGCCGACCGATCAGCCCCGAGTGGCCGTATCTGCCCCTTCGCCTGTTGGGGACTGGTGCCGTAAGCCGTCGCTCGCGGGTCCAGCGGCCAGGCGTGCGGCAGCACCGATAAACCAAGCGGAGCGTGTGGTGGTCATGGCGACCGACATGTATACAGCTTTCTCATGCTGTGTAGGGTAACGTAGAGATGACTCGAATGCGCTCCGAAGCGGGCCACGCTCCGTTCATCTTCATGCGGATGTGTCATGTGGCCCCCATAGACCCGGGCAGACCACACGTCACCGCACCGACACTGTGTGGTGAGATCAGTCGCCGGCGTGCCCTGACACATGTGTCACGCGCCCCGGCCCCCGACCGTTGTGGCGTGACCGGAGCGTCGCCGACGGCCGGGCGGCGCCGCCGCTTTGTCAGCTGACGGCGTCGGTCAGCTGACTACAGACGACGGGCGTGTCTGGCGCTGGGGCGGGGCGCCTCCGGGGTCGTGACATGGACTGCCTGGGCGGCACCAGTGGTGACGCGCCCCCTAGTCGACCGCTGAATGCGGGGACTGGTGCCAGTCGTCGGTTGGTCACTGCCGTCGGTTCATCGACCTGGAACGATCCGCGGTCGTAAGGTTGCGAAATACCTAAGAGAAACGTTGCCGCCTCTCTCAACCTGCCTTTGGTGATGAGAGTTCTGTTCGCAGCTGGCTCTGCGTCAAAATAAGGAAACCAAAGCGTTGTTTTGCTCCGGTAGCTCATTGTTCAACCTGTCCCAACTCGTCAATAGTTCGTCCAGGTTCGCTATTCTATTATCCCCCCCCCCCCCCCCGGGGCCGACCCTTTTGTCGCGCCGCCGAGCGGGCGAGAGGGACGGCCGGCTGTTGTCAAGCTGTCCATCTCGGCGCGCGCCGCGGCCGGCGACCCCTCCCTCTTCTGGAGCCGGCATCAGGTGTGACGCCGCCCCCGGTACGGCGACGTAGGGGGCTCGGGCGCGGCGGCCGGCGTGCGGGCGACCGCCGGCGGACGGCGACGGCGGCCGGCCGTCTCATGGCCAGCTCGTGCCTTCTGCGTCGCGTTGCAGCATTCCAGACGCACGCTGCCGTCGCCATTGTCCTGCTGAGGGCGGGGCAGTATAAGTGGGCAGTTCACGAGTTCTCGAGTTGGTGCATTAGCGCTGGTCGGCTGCAACAAATGACATTGCGAGCGGCGTGGCGCTGTGGAATTACCGTGCCATAGAGCTGTGTGAACGACCCGGGACGCGGCGCCGCTGGCGCCCTGCCGGCCTCTATGGAGATGAATGGACAGCACCGCTCTGCAGCGCGAGCCTTTGGCGCGCCTCTCACCCGCCACTGGGAAAGCGAGCGTTGGGATGCGACGCAGCGTGTCCAGTGAGCGCCGCCCGCCGCCGCCGTCCGTCTGACCGGTGTCTCCTCAGTTTCAGATAGCCCCCCGCCTCCGGTGGCCGGTGCCAAACGCAGTGCGCCGTCGGCGCGCCACCAGCCAGGTGAGGAGCAGGCCGACGCCTGGCCTTCAGCCCCAGCCCCGGGCCGGCCGCCGCCGCGCCGCCGAATTTGTATCGTAAAATAACGCCCGATACAGCCCCGAAGGCCACCGGCGGAGTCCTGTGCCCGGTTATGAATTTCAAGTGGCCGTCTGAGGGCGGTGGGCTGCGTGCGGACGGCGGCCCGCGAGCGGGTCCAGCCGGCCTCTCTGACCAACGCCATCTCTGCCGCAGATGGGTCCGAGTTGGCCGAGCCGGTGTCGGTCACCACGGGCGGCACGGGCCAGTACGGGTCAACCTCCAGCATCGACGGTGAGTGGTTCATGACGTCACGTCTCTCGCCCTGCCGGCCAGCCGTCCAGCGGCGGCCTGCACGGCCGATGTACAGCAGTGTCAGTTTGAGCTGTCTGGGAAGACCGAGTGGTTTGCACAGCACGTAAGGGTAGGGGAGTACCGCTCGGATAATCGGCGTGTAGCGGACCACACACCCCATGCATGGCACCCGGCAGCCTCCACCGCTCGGTCGCCCACCTCCAGCGGAGAGCCGGCTCCAGCGGCGGAGGCGGCCTGGGCACTCCTCGGTGCCTCGGGTGGTCTCCCGGAGCGGCCGCCCCGCCGCGGAGGTGCGTCCGCGCCGGCCGGCGGGCCGGCCTTATGCGGCCGACGCCGCCGCCGCCGCCGCCGCCGCGCGCAGGGAGCGGCCGTGAAGGACAGCACGGGCGGCCGCGGGCGAGGCGCGGCGAGGGGAGGGGCTCTCGCTGGCGCCGCGGCGCCGGGCCGGCCCACGCGCCGCCCGCCCGGTACTTACCGCGGGGGCCCGGCACCGGGCCGTGGCGCAGCACAGACGGGTGCACCTCCGCTCGCGGCCGGTACACTCAGGGCGGAGCGAATCGCCCACCCGCACAGAAGAAAGCGCTGCGCAAAACACATGCATGAACTCTTGACTCCGTGTACGCTGTGTCGCCTGCATACCAAGCTCTGCACGGTGGCCTGAGTTGTGTGCGCGACAAATCCGTAGTGTCGTTGGCGTGACGCCCTACGCACACTGCAGCCTGGATCACTGCCAAGGGTTTACAGACTGGCATAGAAGGGCTGGACTGTGTTCGACTGACCGGCGGTCACCATAAGCGACTGAGTTGCGTAAGCGTAGTCAGCCTCAGGGTATCGAGGGAGGCCAGTCACCAACAAAGATCAGGGTTCCGTGCGCTATCTTCCCGCGAATGAGCACCCACTTGTGGGAACAGCGAGTATCATCGCACTGACGTAACCCGGCATCCGATTGGCCCGTGCGAGACTGGCATTTGGCGCGTGGCGCTTTACCCCGCAGGGGCACTTCAGGGGCACGGCGCATATATGTTACCGGCGTGGTCCTGCCGTCTCTTGCTGGCCAGCTCGTGCTCACTAATGCGACGGCTGACGCGTACCTGTCTAGTCTCATAATGACGCCATTTCATGCTGTTATGGCGTGCAGCGTCTTCCATGTGGTACCCGAAGTTATCTACCGTGTTTCAGCATCCCACATCTGGCTTGTGTTTGCCGGTGTGTGCCGGGATCAGGGTTTGCCCCGGCCCGACCGCTGGTGACACTTGCCGCCCGACTCTGGCGCCGCAGCCGCGGCACCGCGCCGCCCGCCCGCTCTCCGTCCGCCCGCTCTCCGTCCGCTCTCGCGTACCGCCCGCTCTCCGTCCGCTACGCTACGCGTGCCACCCGCCCGCTCTTCTTCCGCTCTCGCGTGCCACCCACCCGCTCTATGTCGGTTCTCGCGTGCCACCCGCCCGCTCTCCGTCCGCTCTCGCGTGCCGCCCGCCCGCTCTCCATCCGCTCTCGCCTGCCGCCCGCCCGCTTTCCGTCCGCTCTCGCGTGCCGCCCGACGCCCTGAATGGCAGGTGGGGTCGTCTTCCTTTTACGACGGAATCCGCTTAGCGCGGCACCGGCGCACCACGGTGCGGCCCCGGGCCGCGGCCTGGCGCCGCGCTTCTCGAGCGGTGCCGGCGTGCCGCGGCCGGCGCGCCCTCAGGCCGCCTGCTGGCGCCGCAGTCGGGAGATCGCCTCTCCTTACGGTGGCCTGTCGCCGCGCGGAGGGGCGCTACTGTCGCCCGCTCAAGAGAAGCCGGCCTGGCGACGGAGTCTGAAAACTTAACGGCGTCTGGCAAGTTTGATTGGCTTGTATGGAGTGGTTATGTTAATGCAACATTCCAGCATTTGCGTTTCGGGCGAAAACGTGACGTGGAGGCATTGCTGCGAAGCCGGAGCGTGCTGGCTGTGGTTTGCAGCGCACCTCGTAAGGCTTCAGATGTGTGTGTGCGAAGGTGTATCCCTTGTAGGTAACACACATTCTAGTCATTCCGTAACGACTTTCAAACGAAGCACGCCTGTTTGTCTCCACCACTTTTGAAACGTTTCTATGTCCATGCGTCAGCGTAGGTCTCAGCGCAGGCCTCAGCGTAGGTCTCAACGTAGATCTCAACGCAGGTCTCAGCGGTCTTAGGGTGGTCCGTATCATATTGCTTTGCTATTGGGCGTTAAGGCCAATCCGCCAGTCCCCAGTTGTCAATGCTTCAGTTTTCTAGTCAATACTTCAGCGTTTAAAAAGCTTTCAGACGATGACATCCACGATGCCCGCGCACCCTGTGACCAATGGTGCAGCTAAAAATGGCACTAAGCGACTGCATCCAAATATGACGTTAATCCTTCCTTCTGCGGTAGAAGTTCGTGGCATTTGGCGTAGGTATTCCTGTTGTCCGAAATTTGTCTTGGCTTGAAATTGTCGGAATTTGTTGTCGTGACTGATTTCACGCACCATCGTCGGTGCTTCTCCGCGCTTTTTGACTGTGTGTGCCGATGTTTGCGTGCTTGGTGCTGATGGTCCAAGGCGTGTGTTTCGCTCAAGCCAGGCGGTTTATGCGGGCAGCGTCGGACGCCTTTGTCGTCCTCTGTGAGAGGCCCGACCATCGGCGGCGAACATAGCGGCCGCTCTCTCTCTCTCTCTCTCTCTCTCTCTCTCTCTCTCTCTCTCTCTCTCTCTCTCTCTCTCTCTCTCTCTCTCTCTCTCTCTCTCTCTCTCTCTCTCTCTCTCTCTCTCTCTCTCTCTCTCTCCTCTCTCTCTCTCTCTCTCTCTCTCTCTCTCTGCCTCTGCCTCTGCCTCTGCCTCTGCCTCTGCCTCTGCCTCTGCCTCTGCCTCTGACTCTGCCTCTGCCTCTGCCTCTGCCTCTGCCTCTGCCTCTGCCTCTGCCTCTGCCTCTGCCTCTGCCTCTGCCTCTGCCTCTGCCTCTGCCTCTGCCTCTGCCTCTGCCTCTGCCTCTGCCTCTGCCTCTGCCTCTGCCTCTGCCTCTGCCTCTGCCTCTGCCTCTGCCTCTGCCTCTGCCTCTGCCTCTGCCTCTGCCTCTGCCTCTGCCTCTGCCTCTGGGCCGCGCCCAGCGCTGCGCCTCGCCCGTCTGCCCGCCGCGCTCCGGGACCGAGCCGGTCTCGACGTTCGCGGCGCGCGTGGCACGTGGAGTGAGCGAGGACATGGGGACTGGGTGTGTGCCGGGAGCTGTGCTGGCCAGCCGCAGAGACCGGCCGGCGCGCCTGTGGTCCATGTTTCGGCGAGTGACCGGCCGGGGTTCGCCGCCGCCGCCGTGAGTCACGGCCGCTGCACGGCCTGCTATTTCGGTGGCGCCAACGCCGGCCGCCTGCAGCGCGCTTGTGGGCAAACACGAGCCGCCGGCACGCGGCGGCGGCCTTGCAGGGTCGCACGTGTCCGGTGGCGGGTGTGACCCGGGCGGCGACGGGCCGGCACAGCGGCGGCGGTGGCGGCGGCGGTGGCCCGGCCGGGGGCTCGCGCCGCCGACGGCGCCGGAGCGGCGGGCTGGCGCCGCTCGCGCTGGCCGCCTGCCAGCCGGCCGGCCGGCGCGCCGTCCGAGCGGCGCCGCCGGAGACACGTGTGATGTCACCCGACGGCACGGCCGGCCGCCGGCACACCGCGCCGGCGGCCGCAGACACCCTGTCACTGACGGCCGCCGGGGGCGGGCCGACGGACGAACACCGGCGGCGGACACTAGCGGACAGCGGCGGACGCGGCCGGATGGCGGCGTGGAGTGGCGCAGCTCCGATGCTCTTTGAGACGGACAGACATTCTGGGACCGCGGGCAGATGCGGGCTGGCAATCTCCTCTTCGGAGTAGACGTGCTTGGGCTGGTGCTCACGCTGAGAGGCACTAGTGTCAGCGGCAGAGCAGGCCGCCTCCGCGCCACAGGGCTTACTCATCAGCTGACGGTCCCACCGCCAGCCGTGTGTGATAACGCCGGTTTCCGTGATATTGAGCCTCACTTCACGGGCTTGGGCACTCGCAAACGCCAATGGAAGCACGCCACGAACTCACTCACCAGCACAGATGGACGCGTCAACCGTCAGCAACAGACCAGCCCGCACCAGCTCCGCCGGTCGTGTTGTGCTGCCGGCCCTGCGCGGCCCGACCGGCCGTGCAGCGACGGCTGGGGCCGGCGTGGCCGCCGCCGGAGCAGCCGTCGCCGCCGGTCACGGCCAGCCGCCGCGGATTAGCACATAGCTGGGCCGTATTCGGCGGTCGCCGGAAGCGATGTCCAGATCGGGCGCTCACCACCACCAGGAGTAACGGTGCGGCCAGAGGCTTGGCTTCCGGCCGGTGTCGCTCGCGCCGGCGCCCCGTGACCCGTCGCTCGCGCCGCTCGCGCCTGACCCCGCGAGCACGCGTCTGGCGGCGACGGCGGTGTCTGCCCCGCGCTACGGCTCGGCGCACCGGCGCTTGACGCCGGCGTGTTACGAAGCGGGCCTGCCCTCTCCCGACCACCGTAGTCTGTTGCTACGGCCCCGGACAGTCGTCCTCAGACCGCCCCCTCCCCATCTGATGAGGCGGCCGGCAGCGGGGAGCGACCTCCGCAGGCGATGGCCGAGGACGAAGGGCCGCCCACAGGTGGCGGTGACATCAGCGGTGGACCGGACCGGACCGGTACGGACCCGGTCCGGTCCGGCCCACTGCTGATGTCCAGCGCCGCCCGCGTCCGCGCCCGGGCGGCGCGTGGTTGGAGCTGGAGCAGCTTCCGGCGGCGTCGGGTGGGAATGCCCGGGCGGCGCTCACCATTAGCGTTAAGCCAGCAGATCGAGGCGCCTCGCTGCCAGCAGGCTGGCGGAGCCCGGCCGGGGGGCCGGCGCCGCGGCCGGCGGCGGATAGACGTCCGTAGATCGGCCGGTACCACTGCGGCCAACGCCATCGGAGCTTGTCACGAGTGATCGCGCTTAAGCGTATGTCATTGTCGTTGTTCGATATGTCGGTGCGTGCCTAGCGGTTTCTTTTT